AACCGATATGCGTTGGCCTTGCGGAGCATTATTTGTTTTTATTGTCTTTCATGTAACGATTGTTTGCTTTCTATTATGTTATCACTGAAGATGGCCGAAATAAATGTGCCGAAACGTATGAATTAATAATTTGGTTAATTATTATTTTTTTGAGCATCTAACACCTGGCTCTGGGTCAATATAGCTATTTTACAATTTTAATAATAAAAATTAGTATTACAATTTTACAATTTTAATAATAAAAATTAGTATTACCAATCATTTCTTTTATCATTCTATGTAAAAAAATATTATAGGTAAAATATATAGGGTAACCCATTTTAAATGGCCCATTAAGATTTCTCGAAAACCAAGGCTTTCATTAAAAAATGTTTTGTATAAAAGTTTTGTAGTTTCGAGGGACACATAAGATAGTGCCATTAGTTTGAGTTTTAATAGTCGTTTGAAGGTTACGTGAAGGTCCTTCAATTTCTTAAATGAACAATATGGACATCCTCATTTTTTATAGCATAATCTTGTAGCTGAGATTAAGGCGTTTTCGAAACACTGATTACAAATTCTTTAAATCTTTTTAAAATTGATTCAATATACAGGGTAGATTTTATTTAATACACATTTTATTCAATACACGCGAATATCTCGAAAAGGAAAAGTTTAAAAAAAAAATGTTTTGGACAAAAGTTTTGTAACTTCGAGGGGGACATAAAATGGTTTCATTGGTTTGACCCAGGATAGTCGTTTGAAGATCACATGAAGATCATCTTCAATTTCTTAAATAGAAATCCCCATTTTTGATTACACATTTTTGTAGCTTATCTCAAGAGCTTTCCAAAACACTATAATAAAGTTCCTTTTTATTGAATATTTTCCGAGTTATAAGGCTTGAAAGTTATGATAGAGTTAGAGAAAAAGAGAATGAGGCGCTCCCGGGCTCAACGCGTTTCTTTCTCCCTCACTCTACTGCAACTTTCAAGCCGCTATAACTCGGAAAATACTCAATGAAAAGGAACTTTATTATAGTGTTTTGAAAAGCTCTCGAAGTCAGCTATAAGAATACGTAATCAAAAATAGGGGTTTCTATTTAAGAAATTGAAGGTGACCTTCATGCGACATCTTCAAACAACTATCCAAAGTCAAATCAATGACACAATCTTATGTCCCCCTCGAAGCCATAAAACTTTTATTTGAAACATTTTTTTGAAAAGAACTTTTCCTTTCCGAGATATTTGCGTGTATTGAATAAAATGGTCTATCCCGTGTAATAATTGATGAATAAGATTTGACCTGAATACCTCTCTATTTGTAATCCTACAAACATTTTTGAATTACCAATAGCAATTTTAAAACTTGTTTTTAATTGCAAAAGAAAATTATTTAAAGTTTCTTTAGGACTTGACAAAATTAAACCATCATCAACATAAATGGCTAAATATAACACTTCATTGTTAAAACTTTCTATATATACATAAGTTTCTGCATTACTTTGAACAATATTATATTTTTTAAGAAAAAAATCGAAACATTTATTCCAACAACGAAAGAATTTGTTTTAATCCATAGAGAGATTTATTAAGTTTGCATACTATACCAGGTTTTGCTTCTATATCCTTTGGAGTTTCCATATAAATTTCTTCGTCTATACAGAAAAGCGCATTTCACATCTGTCCAATCTCTAATCTCTTCTTGAGCAGCTAAAGCCAGCAACATCCTTACCGAATCATATCGCACAACTGGTGAAAAAGTTTCTTTGTAGTGTGACGTGACGCTTTCCGTCGCGCCTGTCACAAGGGCAGTAGCCCGGCCAAAGGGGGCGGAATTTGGAGTTGCGTCCCCTCGGTCGAAGAGGGAGCGATTTCTCCCACTTCAACGGGTCTTGCGTTCTCATTTAAATTATTATAATATACCGACAAGCTTAGAATTTTAGCGCTAGGGTGTATGGCCATTTTATTGCGTCATGTAATTAACGTCAAGAAGAAGCGAACGCCGTGGGATTTCGGAAGATGACCTCGCGACAGTGAGAGGAAGCCCGAAAAACACACGAAACCAAGGTCATGTATCGAGTCTCGCGTTGAGTATAGTCATAATAGCAGTTACCGATCCTCCAACCTTACAGGACCGAGGTTACGGGGAAGTCCCGACAAGGATCAGATAGAGGGAGCACGGTAGTGCGACCGGATGCCGGAGGACGTTGCCGCCATCACCGAGAGTCCAAACAGACCGTCGGTGTAGCCTTGGCCTGGCCAGCCGGGCGGATCGAACCGGAGGAAATCAAACTAAGAGAAATTCATCATTTCAAATTATCGGCTGTTGGCGAGCACGAGGAACAGGATAAACAATTAACGAGGTCGGAGCTGTTTGCGATCGACAGGCGACTCAAGAAAAATTATAAACAGAGTGCGCTGACCGATGCGCGGAGATTTGATATAGGCCAGGGGGACCTCAGAGAGATCACTGTTCGACGAGCCAGCAACCGGGAAGGAGCAGCTCCAGAAGAGGGTCCCGACGAGCGTAGCCGTATCGTCTCTGTAAAACCATCACCCAGGGTAGCTATAATTTAGTAATACTGGCCAAAGCTAACGCCTCCGGCAAATTCAGTTACCGCTAAAATGCCGCGATTGTTCTTAATTGTCGAAATAGAAAGTACCGATACCGCTTCCCGTGAGTATTGGAGCTGGAGGTTAGCTGGCCCCGGTTACCGGTTACCGTAGCCCTCTTCGAGACGCTGTGCCGTCGACAGTCCGAACGCTCGTAATCTGAGAAGGAATTATATCGTTGCCGTCTCCATCTTATAGGAGTTATCAGTTACTGTCTCCGTCTTATCAAAGTTATCAGTTACCGTGGACGTTGTGTTGGGAAGATACCGTTTGATAGAGAATTTGTGTCGCGGAATTTGCGTGGAGTGCAGTGCCGTCTCGCAGCGAGAGTTTGAATTCGGCCTTGTGGTGTAACGATCAACTCGTCGCGGAAACTTGAGTGCCTGTATCGAAATTACCGTTGAGATTACCTTTTTGTCAGCTATCAAAATTCGTGTGTTACCGTTAGTGCGGATTTTGCATTGGAACGTCTCTGGGCGAGATTCCGG